ATATGTTGGGGGTTATTATTTTTTCTCATCACTTGATTCCATGGTTCTGGAGCAAGAAGTTTGCGCATGGCAATGTTGGGTTGTAATGTCAAAAGGCTGAATAGGTCCAGAAGAGCCTTCCAAAGCTTCATACATAACTTAAAACAGGGATCTCAGAGAAAGTATCATTTTCCCATTTTCCAGGAAGTTCCATGTATCCTACTGGCTCTGCTTCTGTAATGCTGGGATAGCAAGGGTATCCCATCATGCATGTTTGGATATTCATATGGGTGTAGAATATGCAAACTCAGGTCCTCATACTTATGTGGCAAGCATTTTATTAACTGAGACATCTCCCCAGCACCTACAACAGTGTATTTTAAAAAATACAGTGTATTACTGGAGCTCATCACAGAAAGTGGCAACATGGGGAGGTTAGACTAGTTACCCAGATACTGTTCTCAGCTCAGAGCTGGATTCTGCAATTCACACTCCTGCTGGCTCCACAGTACCAGTGTCTTGCCAGTGATATCTCAGAAACACTATGGGGCTGGGAAGCTGCAGGGGAAGGACAGAGTTTCGTCTATTCTGTTTTGTTTTCCAGTTTTTATCTTGCCGGTGACTTATCTTTACCCCATGGCAAAAACAGGGCCAGCTTTCCTCTCAGGGACACTGGCTGGCCAGCACATCCCTTCTTCAGAAAGTTTACTTGGCTCCTTGTGCTTTTCAGTTTCTTTCTGAAATCCCTTACCCTGAGTGTTAGTGTTTTCTTGCCATCACTACCTTTAAGGGAGGACTAAGGAAAGGACCAGTCCCTGAGATGTTTGCTACTGATTCACAATGGCAGTGTAAACACTGATTTATAAGCTAATTAACATCACTGCGTACACTGCTTGGTTCAAAGGCAGACTTTGTCTTAACCACTGAGCCATCTCTCCAGCCCCAGCAGACCATCTCAAAAAGGAGCAGTCAGCTGACAGGTATTCAGGGTGCAGGCCTCTCGTTGCAGGGTAGTGACGGGTAGCTAGCCGTTCGGTTGGTTTGACCTTGTCAACAGTCTCAGTGGTTCCCCATGACCAATCATTTTGTTGTTGTTGTCGTTTTGAATATTAAAGTAACTCCTAACATGCTTCTTGTGGGTTCTGCCTTTTATCAGGCTTTGATACAGAAATTAGAGAAAAGTTTTATGTTGAAGTTTTTCTTTTAGTTATAGGCATGCTTGATTACAAAGTGGATTACAAAATGGTCAACTACAAACATACTAGCCTAACATGTAGATTCTATGAGGAATTCAATTTTTTTATATTTTTATTTTATTTTTTATTCATTTTATGTACCAATCACCATTACTCCTTTCTCCCCTTCTACCCCCAACCCACCCTCATCCACTCCTCAGGAAATGTAAGGTCTCCCATGAGGAGTCAACAAAGCCTGGCATATTCAGATGAGGTAGAACCAAGCGCCCTCCCCCTGCCTGCCCCATCAAGGCAGAACAAGGCACCCCACCATAGGGAATTGGCTTTAAAAAGCTAGCTTATGCACAAGGGATACTGCCAGGGGTCCCACAAACAGGCCAGGCTACAAACTGTCACCCACATGCAGAGAACCTGGTTCAGCCCCATGCAGGCTCCCCAGCTGTTAGTATAGAGTTCATGAGTTCCCACATGTTTGGGTTAACTGTCTCTTCCCCTTCATGATCTTTTAATACTCTGCTAAACAGAAATTTCCATCTAAAAGTGACCAAATCCAAACTAACCAAACAAAAAACAATAGCCCAGACTGGCCCTTAGCTCTCCATCCTCTTGCTGCAGCCTCCTCAGTGATGGGATTACAAATGTATACTTGGGCTGGGAAGATGGCTCCCCTATTAAAGGCTAGGCTCACAACAAATGTATACCCATGCAGAACAATGGATTGGTTTATTTAAGGACCCAAGAAAGCTTGTCAATTTGTGTGAGTTGGCTGCAGAACTTCAGAACAACTCCTTCTACAAAAGCATTTATTTGTCCCTGTCAATCACATGTGTGGGCAGAGAGCTACCCATGGATAACACTGACAGAACAAGAAATATCGACCTGGGCTTACTTCAAATTTAATTTAAGCATTTCTCATCCTAGAAATAACCTAATAGTTTATTTAGCTGTCTGTACGATAAATGTCACATAGTCCTGTCTTGTCTTTTAGGACAGAGAGGACACTCAGTGGCCCTAGAAGATGAACTACAGCTGACTTGTCTTACTTAAGTAAGGGTGGAGGGAAACTGGACATCGTAGATTGCCAAGCATTTTCCCACAAGCCAGGAAATAACCCACACTTTTGACACTAGAATAAAAATGAGTTTATTACTTAGTAATTATGAGAATATTCCTACTACAGTACTTGCAAAAAATCTAAACACAAAGGTGAACTTGGACCATTTTGGTAAGATGTATTGACTCCATATTAAAATATTTATAATATTTTGAAATTTTCATTTTAATTTTGAGGCTGCATCCACATTTTCTTTTTCTCTTTTGGTTTGAGACAAGTAAATAACACTGTATTTTACAATACAAATATTTATATACAATACAATACAAATATTACAATACAAATATTTAAAATATTTAAGTTTTTAAGGTACTTAAACTGGAGTAAGGACTTAATTTGGTCACGTTCTTAACCAAAGAAGTCATGTGGGAACCGTACAGCCTGGGAAAGTGAGAAGGCTAAGAGTATGGCACAGTCGTGGGTACTTAAGTTGAGGTTCACCATTAGTGAACTTCAGTGTGACCTCCAGAATGGTAACTGAATTTCTACTCACTTAACCATGAAACAGGGTTGACAAGATGGTTGCAACATCGTGCACAGTTGTTTTGACACACCACTCTGTTTTAGGTGATTGAAGCTAAGCCGAGGAGTTATCCAAATAAATGCTGTTCAGTCAGCACTAGAGAAAGAAACCTCAGTACAAGTTTATTCAACCAGAACATGTGTAGGTCCTTTACTCTTTTAAAAGCAATTGTTATGTCCTAAAAGGAAACTAGTATAAAACTGGTGAAATTTAAGGGAGAAAAAATTTCCAAGCAAACACTCTATTGACAAGTTTCTTTACGGCCCTGCGCAGTCCACTAGCCTTCCACTCTTGATCCGTTCAGTCTGGACAAAAGGTATTTTCATGCCATTCAGTTTGTGTAGGGGCAGAATGAACTAGATCTATGTCAAAGTGATTCCTGTTCTGATGTCAGATGGCCACACTTAACATGCCAGGGACAATGGAACTATCCAACGAAAGGAAGGTACAGGACCAAAGAGTGGTCCCAGCTTCCACTGTCCTCCCCTTATTCCTCCCCCCAAAACCTCTTACAAGCAGAAGCCAGTGTAGACCCCCCAAACCATGGTACTGTTAGCAATTTCACATTCCATGAAGGGCAAATCTGTCACATCAGCTCAAATTCAATCTACAGGTATCTTCTCCAATAAGCACAAAATGCCTTATGCTCAATTTTTCTAAGTCTGAAAACACAAATGTAAGGGTTCAAATTAAGCATATTTTTGCCAAGTTTGTTTACTCCAGTTGCAAACATCTCCATTGAGAGAGTGAAGTTCATCCATTAAATTTACTCAAAGGGCCCTGGACCATACACTCTTACTAGTAGAAAACAAACAGACAGCTAGCACAGATACCCAAGGAAGTGGAAAGCAGTGAAAAGTTTTTCAAGGAGTTTTAACAGTGGAAAGTGACCACTTTTTACACAACCACTTCTACAGGCAGAGAGTAGCTAATGATTCAACTTTAAAAACAAAACCTATCTGAAAATTTCACATCAGTGTTTTTAAGATTTGCTAGTAGCTTATGCTATTTGACCTATATCCTATTTTAGAGATAGTTTGTTGTAATAATAAAAATAATAATAATAATAATAATAACAATAATAATAATAAAATAATAGCAAACCATTGATACTACTTTGGAGGGTAACAGTATAAGGTACTTTTTAAATACAACTTTCCATTTTACACCAAGCTACCATTGTTAATACAAGCAAGAATATGAGAAGATAAATCTCCATGAGTCTTGAATTTAAGCACTCAGATATAGCACGATAAATAAAAGACCCAGAGACTGATACTGGAGTTCAAGCTTTAAGCTGAAGATCAGAAAAGCAAAGCAGCTAGCCACAAACTCAGCTCAGACCAAAGGAGGGATCCTCAGACTGCTCCTGACTCCACTGCTCCTCAGCTTCACTCAGACTGCTCTGCTCTCCTCAGCGTGGCTAGAGACTAATACTCAGGCTGAATGCTTCTACCTTCTCTACCTCTCAAATCCTGAGATTAAAGGCGTGAGCTCCTATTCACTCTCCGGTAGCCCAGGGTGGTCTTGAACTCAAGAGATTGATCTACCTCTTAATCCTGAGTCCTGGGATTAAAGGTGTGCCTGGCTTCTATGGCTGCTGGAATTAAAAGTGTATATGGCCACTGCCTATAGCTTGAGGCTGGCTTTACTTTCTGAATCCTTGGCAATTTTAATAAATCATAAATGACATATCACAACACACTCTGATTTATCAGTAACACCAGTATGGATGGCAACCACCAGGTGGAAGGAGACTACACCTGATAAAGGAGGATCTTCATACATTAACGGGGCCTAGTTCAAGTAGCAGTCAGAGAGCCAGGAGCAAAGACAAAACAGGCATAGAAAACCATAGAAACCAGCTAACCTTATTCACAGTATCACAGTATCAACTAGACATGACAAAATAAATAAATAAATATATAAATAAACAAATAAAAGCAGTAACCACAGAGAACACAGTGAAGACTTCACATTCTCAAAACAGAAACAAACTGCTTGCTTTTTCTAAACATTTTAGAGATACACCTCAGTGAATTTTATGTGTATTTATAAATCAAATTTAAAATGTACTAGGAATTCTTAGGAAGGCTGTTACTTATTTAAAGTATTGTTACATATTGAAAATTAGACACTTAGGCCTATAGACACTAAGAATTTTATGAAGTAATTTGGCAGTGCCTACCTGTTTTAAGAACCGGACTCCGTAGCTAAATACATAGAGGTAAAAGGAAAATCGCCACCTGTAGAAGATTGAAGAAATTAAGACAGTCAGTTTTATATATTTCACAGTATCTCTGAAATATGTGAGGAAAAGGTTAATTACGTTTCTGTTCCTTTAACCAAGGGATGAACTTGGTAAACATAAGCATTCCTATGTATGACTTTAAGGAAAAAATATTAATCATTATTCACAACTTTTCTTTCTCTAAGTTAGCAAATGTGCCCATCTGACTTTCTTCTTTCCCAACTTGTCAATTATCTCTGATTGAACACATATGGAAGGGTGAGGCTCATCAAATGAAAATATTTAATTTTTATTTACAAAAAGCATCTTGTCCTAGTCCTCAAAACCAAATTTATTTCTTGTATGCCATGAAAACTTACTTAAAAGTGTGTGTGTGCAGGTGTAGGCACCTGCCCACACGGGCACAAGTGTGTACACGTTTGTATCTGTGGTCATGAGTTTCACTCTGTGTGTGTGTGTATGGTTCCAGTGATGAAACTCAGCCAACTAAGTTTGTGCAGTAAGCACCTTTACCCTGAACCGTCTCTCTGGCCTTCCACTTACTTTCTGAACATGAATATCATGCTTTTAAAAACTGGCCAGGATCCATTCAACTGTATTTAGAAGGTCACTAGGTTGGTGGAACCTTGGATTTATAGACTGAAGATGAACATCAGAGAATAGACTTCATACCATCAGAAGACAAACTGCTTGCAAAGAACCTAAAATTCTTAAGTAAAGTGACAGGCTTTAGATGATTAAAATGATACATAAAATTATCTGAAGGAAATGAGAATTGCATTCAGTAGAGAAAGTGTTGGTAGTAGGAAACCTCTAACCACTGGCTTTGACTCACCAGTATACACAAGCATCCCTCAGATGCACTCTTCAACATTCTAAACTCTAAGGCAGAACTAATTAAGAGAAGAGCTCTGAACTTCGTAGTTGAAAGTCTTCAACAAATAACTCATAAAAGTCTGAATTTAAGAAGGAACAACAAAACCTGACAGAAGTAGGAGTGATTCAATAAGACCCAACAAAACTGAAAAGCGCTGACTCCACCCTCACGTGAAAGCCCCTTCTGTAATGGCTGCTTACACAGAGTGAACAGCCACCATGGGCTTCACCCACACATCCACGACTGGCTTTCTGGAGGTGAATGTGTGTTTCCTTCCATCTTGTGTACAAATTCTAGGTCAGAACTAAAACCAGGGCTGACATGGGCCATGTTCAATTACACAGGGTTCAGGCCAATAGGATGCTTTCCGGTCACCATATTGAATTCCAAGTAAGTGTTAAACAGTCCCTGGTTTTATCTCCAATGGGCCCTGCAGATTATTTAGCTCTGATGAGTAACAAAAAAAATCTTTTAATTTTAGGCAAATCTGTTAATATCCCTTTATTTCAGTTTTATCTCAGGGAGAGTGAGTTTATTCCATAATGGTAATTCAAGGATTTGGTCATCTTTAGAGTAACCTTTATTTCAGTCCCTTTCTCTCCCTATTACACTGAAAGAGTGTACTTCAAGAATTTGCTTTGCTTTCCTGGCCTCTGGAGACAACTGAATTTGCAATAGCTCTAGTAAATGATTTATAACAGCTGTTTCAATTCTGACTATTGTTAGTAGGCAATGATCAAACATCTTTTATGTATAATAAAAATTTTATAGAAGTCATTGGAATTCTTACCATCATTTATATGTCTGCATTTTATTCTATCACTAACATGACCCAGTTTTCATAAGACACTGGTTCTAGTACAGGAACACTGATGCCTACCTTATTTGAATAACAAGTTGCAATGAATATTTACAAGGCAGACTTTTTATTTCCACAAAATATATGTAGGAAGCAAAATTTGCAAACATTCTGCAACATGAAAAAATACTTTATTTACAGAGTTTCATATCAGTTACAGTTTTAAATGATGGCTTCCAGCTTGTTTAGTGTCCCCCAGACTTTCACTAAAATTTCTCTAGGAAGAGATAAGGAAAGCTGCATATAATCACAAACAGGAATACATGGCATTTAGTCTTCTGCTAGGAGCAGGGAAGGCTTCTTGCTATAACAGTAAGAGAATAAAATTAGATTTTAAAAAACGTTGTAGAGGGCTTAAGGTTACACCTCAGTAAAGTACTAGCCTAAAATCACAAGGATCTGTGTTTAACCCCAGAACCCATGAAAAACTTTGGGTAAGGTGTCCCCTGTTTATAATTCCAGTGCTGGGAAAGCAAAAACAATCAAATAAACCTCAACAAGGTTGAAAATCTTGATAGTGTAGTCTGATTGGTCAGCTCCAAGCAAAGGAGAAACACTGTTTCAAAGACACTTCATTCCTGAGTTTGTCTTCTGCCCCCTAAATATGAGCTCACACATGCTTCTGCACACACACACACACACACACACACACACACACACACACTTACTCATGCATACACAATACACACATACATTTTTTAAAAAAGTGGATAGAGAAGCAGGAAAGCATAAATCAATTTTTAAAACTATCGGAGTAAAACTGAGATTATAGATGAAGAAAACTAAAGAATAGTTGTACAGACTCAGAAAAATGAAGCCTAGAATTACTACCCACATTAGGATGAGGATAGAGAGAAAGAACACGAAATCTTATAGGTGGGGAGGACCTGGGAGGAGTCGGGGGAAAGGAAAGAACATGATCAAAATAGAATGTATAAAAAAAGTTAAATTTAAAAATTAATTAATTAAAAAAAGATATCCGCAGAAGAAATTCAATCACTGAAACAGATGGTGAACAATCCCAAGAGATCAACAGAGAAAATAAAGGGCTATAGATCTTGGGGCCAGAAAAAATAACCTAATTATAATGATTTCTTAGAAACTACAGTAAAAACTGACAGAAATAATCACCAATGACACATTTGAAAATAAAGAACTTTAAAAAAAAGAATCAAATTATGTTCTAAATAAGACCAATTTAAAGCCACATTCAGAAAAAAAAAATTGAGTCTTAATGTAAAAATGAAATGAAGAATCCTTCTGTATTCAGGCAAGAAAACATAGCAACATACAAACAAATAAAAACAAGTCACTATCAGGGACACAAATGTCCTCATGGTCTTTAATTTCTCCTGTATACCAGCAAACGCTGAAAATGGGAATCGCTCATTGAAGAAAGCCACAGCCAGCCCAGGAGACTTTTGTTGTTGTTGGTTTGTTTTTTGGTTTTTGAAGACAGGATTTCAGAGTTTCTTTAGAGCTTTGGAGCCTGTCCTGGAACTCTCTATGTAGACAAAGCTGAACTTGAACTCACAAAGATCTGCCTGCCTCTGCCTCTGCCTCTGCCTCCCGAGTGTAGGATTAAAGGTATGCATCACCACTGCCCAGCCAAAGGAATTTAAGAAGTACTCTCTTAATCAAAGGTTGTGAAACTGTGCTATTCTGTAAACCTTCATTAAACGGTAAGTGTCCTGTTCTGTGTGTAAAATAAACACACATGCATTTGTATATTTACAAATGTAAGATTTTTATAAATCTGTAGCTAAATAAAATAATTATTGAAATTTAAAAAAAGTAACTCAGGTCAATTTCTACACACCAAAATATACAATATAAATTAAGAACTCAAAGAACATAATTTTAGAATAAAATAAGCTGTGTAAACTTAGAAATATACATAATTTCTAAATTTAAGCATCCAATTAAAGCTATTGTTCTTAAGGGACAACATAAAATATTTAACAATAACCAAGGGATGAATTCTGAGATTGTATTAGTAAAAACAAGGGATAAAGATGCGAAACATTAAATCATTGTTATACACAATACTGCTTTGATAAAAAGAGATATGCAACTAATAATATTTTTATAAAATTTTAACAGATGAGTCCTCATTAAAAATGGTTATGCCAAAAATTACCTGTGCCTTTACTTATATAGTGCTAAACTAGCAGAAGTTGGATTTCTTATTTATTGGTTTTAGGAAAGCAAGAACTCCCAGAGACAAGGAAGCAGGATTGAGGCCAGACATCTCATTGTGAAGCCGGAGAAGAGAAGGGCACTAGTGTAGCTGGCAGAACCACAACCCGAATCCTACACTTTGATGGGACACAGACACTTGGACAGACCCCATTATTAACTCTCTACTGGGACCCTCTGTTGGCAACAGAGCCTTTGGCACCAGCCACACAGTTGGTTAGTGACAAAAACGAGGACACAAACCCAGCATTGCCTCCGAAGGCTTCTCTCAAATTCTGCAGAATTAGCACACACTCCAGCACCCAGGGAAGGCACAAAGTGGTTTGACAAGGTCATGCAATCAGAAAGGAGGGAGTTAGGATTAGCACTACCCTGTGATTGCTCCTTTGGTGTGACCACACAAATTTCACTCTATTTACTGAACATGTTGATGCCTATTTTTCTCCCTTCTTTAAGCCACAACCATGTCTTCTCCTTTATCCAAGCTGACTATTCATAATCTTTCTGGACTTCCTTCTTATTTCTACCTATCAAGGCTCTTGTCCCCATATGATGCTGGCTTAACACTAATAGATCCTTTAAGTGTCTGATGACGAACTGGATCATTGGATCTTTCAGTCCCTAGTAAGAATCTTAAATCATAAATCTTCTGGCCAGGACTAGCTCTTGGGTAGCTGTGTTCAGACACATGGATGGGGCACAGTTTCCATAATTCTCACAGTCTGGAATCAGTGGCATTGCAAATGTACCTGCTGACCTGAAAATGAAGACAGTAACAACTACTTCTATGGGCTTGAATGAGGAGAAAATGAAGCAACCATCAGAAATAGATGGACATACAAGTGACACATGGCACACACTAAAGAATAACTTGTCATGCTCACTGTTTTTAGCAGATGGCATGTGGAATGCATCCAATAAATAATTTCTAACTCACTTTTATTACTAACTATGTCTCAGTGCCAATGGCGACATAACACTACCTCATCAGAATATGGTTCTCCGCCCAGGGATGTGGCACATCACCTGTGAAGAAGACATGGGTAACAGAGGAAGTTTG